TTTATAAGAAGCATGTGTCAACTGTTTTTGTAATATTTAAAAAAGGAAAGAAAGAGCAAGGGGGCTAGATGCAGCAGAAAGAATTTCAAAACTAACAATGTAGAAAAGTATCTTCTTTTATGGATAAACAAGAAGCATTTATCAGGTGATACTGCAACCAAGATGTTTATCTGCTTGAAGACAAAGACCTTATATATTGATAATGTAATGACTGCCTGGTGTGTGTGCAAAAAATAAAGGCTTGAAAGGAAGCAGATGATAGTTTGATAACTTTAAAAAGAGAAGTAGCACTTATAGTGTTGTGAAGTATATAGGGGCTGCAAGTTCAAATGCTAAGGCTGCCAAATCATTTGCTCCCAAGTTTGGGAAGTTAATTGTTTCTGAGTGTTGGTTTCTAGAAGCTGATATTTTCCAAGTACTTGCCTTAGCAAGTTTTTAAATGTAATCAGACAGGAATTACCCCCTCAAAAAAGATGCGAGAGATGACTTGCGTTGTAGTAGAAGGGAGTGAAATTTTTGGTTACAAGCCCACAAAAGATTAACTCACCTTTTTTCTGTATGCTAAAAAAAGTGCGGTTTTAAAGTCAAGTTTCTGCTCTTGTATCGTTCCAAGTATCTATGAGTCTTTACGAAATTCAAATTGCAGAACAGACTGTTAAGTGTATTTTGGAAGTCTGATAGCAACGCTTTGGCCAAAGTGGGTCACGATGATCTTTTCTACAGTAAAAAAAAAAAAAAACTTTTTGGAAAGGAACTTGCCATTTGTGAATAATACTTCTGCTCATCCTTCAGGTTGAAGGAATTAAGGAAGTGGAAGTTCATTAAGGTTAAATATCGCCCACCAGCGGCCGAGTGGTAAAGTCACTGAACACTGTAGTTCGATCCGAGGTTCGAATCCCACGAACGGGCTGGCTGCATGGGCGTTTTCGTGGTTTTCCCCATGTGTAACCTGTATACGAGCCAGTTTCCCTTAGAAAGTCCTCCACGAAGACATCCCTCCTCTTAGGCAGATAGCCCTCGAGGCTTTGCCATAATCACACACACACTACTAAGGTTAAATATCTTTTTGTCCATGCTATTCCACTTCTCTAGCCCATAAGTCAGCAGTGCATTTTGTACTTTAAAAAGCTTTATATGAAGGCATTATTTAGAGGTGCATCAAGAGGATCAAAGGAACTAACCTTCTCCTCCAAGAGTTTTGCAAGTATCATTTTCATATTGTGACAGCCTCGAGATCAAGAAAACTTGTAGTTACCAAAATAACCCCCAGTTCTACCTGGAAACAGCCGTATCCTGATTGTGTTTTTGGATACTTTAAAATGGGTTACCTCATGAAACAGAGCCACCAGTTTATTAAATTGTGTCCTTTGAAAATATCATGGAATTAGAAATCAATGGGAGCAATACTCAAGAACTGGTGTAGGAACATAGCCAGAAGTTGACCACCAACAACCTGGTGATTGTACATTGTGAGCAAGAGGTTATGGAAGAGATCTCATTTGAAGAAGAGGAAAAGATGGAGAAATCCTTCACTTCAAATGAGAATAGGAAAATGTGAGAAATAAGGAAAATTTGTTGGAAAGCACATCCAAATAAGGTAAGCTGTATGAGTGATGAATTTGTCCAGCAACAGTGCAGTGTTACATTTCTTCAAAAGGAGGCAAAAACAGCTGTCGTTAAATAATGGGTGACTTCAATCGGTCATCAGATAATAGTGATTCCAATAATTAACCACAGTTCTTTCAAAGGTAAATGTTTACAATCCAAAGTAATTCAGTAAATGCTTTTAATACTTCCCTTTTTATATAAAATTATAATATATATTCCGTCTATGGGAAAGTTCTGTCTGTTTCTATGACAACAATTTTCAACATGTAAGCGCATGTTTATTTGGCCCATGTTCGGTGCTCTATTTTTATCGTTTAATGTATACACTGACATAGCAGATTAACTAAAACAAAGTTGATTCATGTTAATCTTGAGTGGGGAAGCGATAGTGTACTCATGGCTACTGTTAAAGTCACTCATGGCCACTGTATTTTATACAAATTTCAACAAGGAAGAAGTGCTATAGAAGCATGTAGAAATTGATTGAAAGTGTTTGGTGAAGGTACAGTTTCTGATAGGACATGCAGAAGATGGTTCGTAAAATTTGGAACAAGTGATTTTGACCTTTCTGATAAGCCACATTCTGGGCAATATTAATCATCATTGATTGATGATAATGTTGTTAAGACCATTTTGGAGCACGATCCTTTTCTGACAGCATTTAGAGATAGCAGATAGGCTTATTCAGCTCAGCAAACCATTTCGAACCATATTCAGAATAGGATTGGTGTGGAAATATTCAAGATGGATGCCATATGAATTAAGTCAGAAGAATTTGGATGATTGAATCGTCATATGCACATCTCTGCTTGCTCGGAACAAAATCAAGTTCTTGAATCGAATGATAACTGAGGATTACCTATGAAAACATCGTAAGGAAAAGGGCATATAATGAACCCGGAAAGTCTAGCCCTACCACCTCTGAACCAGATTTGACTCTGAGTAAGAGAATGTTATGTATATAGTGGAATATTCGCAGACCAATACATTATGAGCTTTTAAAAACAAACAAAAAGCTCAATTCGGAGAAGTATGGTCAGCAACTGGATAATTTAAAGACAGCATTCCAAGAAAAGAGGCTGACATAGTTCAATAGGAAGGATATTATACTGCATCATGATAATGCCAGATCACATGCTGCTTTGGGACTTGCCAAAAAATTGCAGAACTAGGCAAGGAAATTCTGTTCATTATATGCCCCGGACTTAGTGCCCTTCTACTATCGCTTGTTTTTGTCCTTACAATAATTTTTTGAAGGGGGAAAAATTCAAAAATGAAGAAGATATTAAACAAGCACTGGTTCGAGTGTTCCTATCAGATACAACATTTTTCAAAAATGGGGTATACAAATTGCCCTCACACTGGCAAGAAGTCATTAATAATAATGGCAATTATATTATTTCATAAAATATATTGATGGTAAAAAATTTTTCTATTTTGTTTTATTTCAAAAACGGACAGAACTTTCTAGTAGACCGAATATTTTTCTGTAAAAGCCAAGACAAAATGAGTAGCTTTTCTATGTATTTAAAAATTTTGTTATTTATTTTGACCTTTTTTTTAATTTAATGATTTATGTCTTGAAGTTTGCTAAGCTCTAAAATCTGTACAACCTATGGCTTCAGATTGTATGGATTTTTGGTCTTCTTTTGTATCTGTATGACTTTTTTTTTTTTTTTTTTAATTTTTTTTACCCATACTTCCTTTTAATTTGACTTCAGTAATTTTGCTTGATTTAATGTTCTTGTTCAGTTTTAATTAATTTCAGATATATCAGGACAAAATATGATAAATAATAATTAGTTTGTTTTAATTAGAATATACATTTTGCTATGATAAATTTGTAACTTCTTACAGACAGCTATGTAATTTTCAAGCAATATTTTTCAGCAGTTAGCTGAAGCTTGGCCATGATTACTTTAAAGTCAAGTCATAGTAATATTAAATTGTAAGTGCAAGATATTTAAAATAAGGAGATGTTTTGTAACTTAATGAAGAACTTTTCAGTTTATCTGCATTTTGTTCTGCTTTTTAGCTGATGGATTCAGCACATTCCCATCTTTTTTTGGGGGGGGAGGGTATCTTTTGTCATACACACATATGACATTTAATCTCCCTCTTAAATATACATAGAGAGTTACTGATGTGTAAATTTTGTATTTTCTCTTACATTTACTTTTTCTGATATAATTTGTTGATTGATTACACTTGAAAATAGTTTTTGGAGTGTATCATTATGTACACTGCGCAAAAAAAGGGGGGCAGTTCTGTATCTTCTGGGCCAATTGACGAAATTCAAATTGTGTTTTTCTTGTCTTGAAAGTGCGACTTATTATTAGATTTATACATACAAAAATATCATTTTTACATAGGTATTTTGACACAAAATCTGACATTTTCTGAAATGACATGCCAGTTTTTTTTCCCCATATTTCTGTTCTACAATTTCAAATTATGCCCAAGTATTAAATTTTGTAAAAATTGCTGCAAAATTTAGAAATTAAAAAAATATATCATGACATATTTTTTCAGTGTTCACCAAGAATAATTTACTTTGTGAACTTCTTAATTTATAGTAACCTGTTTTCCTTTTCTTTTTTCATTGTGTAGACAAGTTAGAAAAAATTTCATTGTTCATACTTTCAAATAATTTTAACCAAGTGCATAATTATGTTTGGCTTTACTGTCACTAAAAAAAGATGCCAAATTTCGAAATGCTCCAATATGTAAATTCATTTATATCTTAGAAGAGTTTGACTAAAAAACTCTTAATTTTTTCCAGGTGTAGCTAGAAATACATTTACTTTAAGACGGTGTTAAAAATTTTATATGTTATAATGCAACATTTTTTTCAAAAAATTTATAAAAATTATTTAAAAATAAATCATAAAAAATGTACGAATTATATTTGGATTAAACCTAAATTTCAAATTGGCATAATTTGAGTTGTAGAATCAAAATATGGAAAAAAATTGCCATGTCATTTGAGAAAAAGTGTGATCTTGTGTCAAAATACCTATATTAGAAAAACGCTATATATAAGTCTAATACATATCCTAAGTTGCACTTTTGAGGCATGAAGAGCGCAGTTTAAATTTCGTCAATCGACCCAGAAGAACGGGAGCTATAGAACTGTCCCCCCTTTTTTTTGCACTGTGTACATATGTAAAGCGTATGAAATTGCATTATGTTGTGCATACTTTTTTCGTCCTGCTGTGGGTTGAGTATTTACTTTTTTGAATTAGCTTGAATTTAATTCTCATCCCGCTCCCCATGTACATGTATAAGATAATGTCATTTAAATTTTGTATTTGTTTTTAATTCCTTTAATGTAGTTTATGTATATTTGAAACATTTTGTTTAAGTTCTAAATAAATTTAAAAATATTTTAGGTTGTAGAAGTGGTATTAATGTATGATCAAGAGAAAAAGAAATCTAGGGGTAAGTCCCAATTCATTGCAGATATTTTCTTTAATTCTAATATCAGCAGCTAGGATTTATCAACAAAAGGGAAATTATGTAACTATTAATTTAAAATCTTTCAATATTCTTAGTGTATTGTGTTGTTGTTAAGTTGTTGTAGTGTACTGTATTAAGTTGATTAATTATGTTATTTCAATTTAAAAATTGTAATGTAAGTAAAACGTCATTTGTAGGTATGTATGTATATAGCCATAGATCTAACAATTTATTTTGTTGTAAGGCTTAACATTTTCTTAGCTGTAAACTTAATCAAGATTGTTTGTATTTTAAATTACATTAATTAGGAAATTTTATATAGTCTGCTGTATTTCCAATGCTTACAGATATCAGTTGTTTGATTTACATATGTGTACCAAGTTGCAATAACTGGATAAAATATTGTCTATAATTCTCTGTTAAGATTTTCCAGTGCTTTTGTATTAATTAAGTGTTAGTCATCAATTTCATTGAGCATTATCATAATGAAAATAATTTTCCAGTTTGATATTGATGTAAAAATAATTATGTAAAAAACTTTGATCTCCAAATAGGGTCAAAAATATATGATGGCAATGTTCTTTGAAGACTTAATATATCATGCATTGACAAATCAGATCTCTCAGTCTTACCTTTATATTTTAGGCTGTGGAAAAAATGTCTGTCATTTTTAATAGCCCAATTTGAAACCTCATATCTCTCCGTTGATTCAATATTTATAGTCAGTGTAAGCATTATGGTGCTTAATTTGTATTTTAACTTTGCAGAATTAAAGTAAATGGCATCTACTGTGAAATCTTTACATTTTAGTATTGAAGCAGCACTTGTAAGACTGTGTTTAGTCTCTGGATTATTTTTAAAGAAGCAGTATACTTTTCCCCTATAAATTAAGAAATTGAGTTAAATTTATAAGTTTTTTAAATTTGCTTATTTTAATATTTTTATTATATTCTAAAAGGTTTAAATCATTGTATTTAATGCTGTTGAGATAATTTTGTTTTGTGATTTTATGGTTTGATAAGTAATTATTTATCTAAATTATTTCCAAAGTTTTCATATGATTGAAGCTGTTCAAGTTAGTAAACAAATTTCAATTCATGTTTTTTATTAATTTTTTATTATGATATATTGTTTAATTTTATTTACTATATTTTACTAATTGTATGTTTGTTATTCAAATTTTAACTTCTGAATTTTAAGTAATGCATTTTTTAAGTGCAATGAAGTTTTTAATGCATTGTAGTGATTTGTATTAAAGATTTAAAATATAATGAGCTGAATATTCAAGTCATTGCACTGTCTTACAGATTTATAAACATTTAAAAAATTTAAATGTAACTAAATTTTTTAGAAATTATGGATTTGCTTTCTAAAATTATAAGTTAAAAGTTTCTTATTATAAAAATCTAACATAAAAAGCATCCCTTGTTATCTGAATTGAATTAATAATTTTTAGTATGTGTATTTAAATTCAAATTGAACTAATGATAAAGTTCTTTTAATTAATCTCTAGATTTACACAAACAGTTTTAAATGATACAAATGAAGCGTAAAAATTTTGTGATAATTACTAATGATGAAATTTTTCTTGATAAAGTATCCATTATATAATTTCGACACTCGACGGTATATTTGAAATTTGAGACATGTTAAATGAGAGGTAAAACAGTGTTCGTACGGTCCTTAAGAGTCCTTAAAAGTTCTTAGATTTTTTGGAATTGATTTTTGGTCCTTAAAAGTCCTTAATTTTGCCCAAAATCAGCAGAAGGTCCTTAATTTTAATCATCTGAAATTTTTGTCTGTTTTTACGACTGCCATTTTGAGTGGGAATTAGCATTTTGGAGGAATATTTTTGGCGATTTACTGATGTGTATGCATTTTGAAATTCATTTTTTCTAATAAAAACTTTTCGCTTTTGGGGATGTGAATTAGTATTAAATGGTTCTAAATTTGGCGAAGAAAGAGTGCTTACAATTTTGACGATTTTAAGATCAGCTTCTATAGAAAATTTTTAATTCTGAGATCTGAGAATTTTTCAACGATTTTTTTTAAAAAAATCATATCATTGATGAACTCCATTAATATAATGGTAATATATTGAAATTATATTTAAAAAATAACATTAAAATAAAACATTTTTATTTTTCGCTGTCATATTATAAAGTTACATTTTGGCAACTTATTATACAATATTTTAAATCTGAAAAATAAAGAATGTGTAATGCTATAAAGCACAATTTACGAAACAGCTCTTAGCAAAAAGCAAATTAGCTATGTAATTTTAAATTTTTCATAGTAAGAGTTTTTTCCCAATTGTCTCAGAATATTCAAAATTCTCAGAATGTGCATCAGTTTTCTCTATAAAATTAATTTTACACTTCCTCCCCCATTTTTTCCAAAGTATTTCTGGCTTTTTGCTGTTACAGAAATGGTAGGGGTAATTTTTCTTTAGGATTTTAGACATTGCAGCTTGGAAAGTTTAGGATTTGAAGGCAAGATTTATAGACCCACAATTCTAGAAGATTCGAGAAATATATGACAAAATGAAAAATGTCTCCATGGTATCAACATATAATGGATGTATTTTACAGAAAGTTTGTGATGAATTTCTTACATTTTGGAGAACGTCTGGAAGAACAATGAAAACATAATGTTTAAATGTTTTACTTCTGATACTAGAATCTTGTTTATCTTCTCTTTATTTTCTGTACTTTTCACTAGACACCAAGCATGGAAAATATCAAAAATGCTTCTAATCTTATCACATGGACAGGCATTATAGATAGGAATTTAAAGGATTGAAAACTTACAATTTAAAAGATTCATCTAATATGCTTTAATGCAGGGGTCTCCAAACTACGGCCCGAGGGCCACATCCGGCCCGCGGACAGATTTTGTCCGGCCCGCGGAGAGCTAGCATACTTGAAAACTCCTTTTAGAGAACATATTTTTTATAGCAAATTAAATTTAGTTTACTGAAGTATTCTAATTTTATGTTGAATAATTATTAATATGACATCTACATTGATATGGTCATGGGCTAACTACTCATAACATTGTTGTAGGCTTATTGTTATTGTTTTTGTGATAAGTTGGATAAAGAAACACAGAATTGTAATGAGTGAAAACATGTATAATATGCAGAAAATTTAACTTCAGTATATAATAACTAACAAATTATTGAAATGAATCCAACTAACATTTTATACATTTTAAATAAAAACATAACTTATAACAAGCATAATGACATATGAAATACTAATGAGATTTATGTAATTGAGCCTTTCCACTGACAATAGTTTGTAGTTGTGGACTCATTTTACTTGTACCAATTATTAAATGAGATTTAAGATGCTCATCAGTTAATTTAGATCTGTAAACATTTTTTGTGTACTTCATTTTGGAGAAGGTCTTCTCACACAATTAAGTAGTACCAAAAACAGAAAACAGCCCACGAGCAAATTTATGCAAATTATCAAATTGTGTCAGTGGAAGACTTATAAAATTCCAACAAAGATGAGTTTTGATATTTGTTCCTAATTATATCACTGCACTGTAGATCAATCATTTCCATTTGAAGTTCCGGGGCTAGGGTTTCAATGTCAGTATCAAAAGGATTCTGAAAAATCTTAATTTGATTCGCAATGGCATCAAAGTCCGAGAAACGAGTATCAAAATTTATTTTCAAAGCACTCAAAGTTTCGATTGCAAAATCGATAGGAAACTCAGTCTCAGTGGTGTGGCTGAATATTTCACATGTTTTAAAAATGTGAAAAACATTTACTTTGTAGTTGTGATTGAAACAGTATCAATTTCTTCCGGAATGATTTGATATTAGTGTATAAATCAGGAAGATGCTGTTTTCTCCTTGCAATCTCAAATTCTGTTCGTTCACATGTTTTGTCAAATCAACATAGAATGCTAACTTCCACAGCCATGCGTTGTTTTGTAATTCAGTAAGAGGGTGATGCTTTTCATTCAAAAAAAATTTCGATCACTGTTCGAAGTTCAAAAACGCACTGAAGGACTTTTCCCACAACTAAGCCAACGTACGGCAGTATGATAAGGTAAGTCATTTTCTCCAATCTCTTCAATAAATTGTCGGAATTGTCGGTGATTCAGCCCAAAAGATCTGATAAAATTAACAGTTGATATGACTGGTTTCAGAACTTCAGACATATCCAAACATTTTCCACACAAAGACTGTTGATAAATGATACAATGTAAGACTAATGGTTTTGAACCACCGTCATTTTCTACAGCCTTTGACACAAGAGCGACCACTCCTTTATCTTTCCCACTCAGGTTTTTGCCTCCATCAGTTGTAATACATTTCAAGTTTTTCCATCGAAGGTTCTTTTGATTAATGGCCATTTCAACTCCTTTAAAATATCTGTACCAGTAGTTGTGCCATGAATACTATACATATCAAGAAGTTCTTCATGCACTTCATAGCTTTTATCTACTCCTCGAATATAAATCAACATCTGAGCAGTATCTGACACATCCGTTGACTCATCCAAGGCCAAAGAAAACCACTCAACATGTCCATTTTTGTCGAACAGTTGAGAGGATATATTTTCAGCGATGTTTTCTACCCTTCGAGCCACAGTGTTTGCTGACATACTGACAGTTTTTAATAAATTTACCTTTTCAGGGCATATTTCTTCGGCTACTGCAATTATGCATTCTTTGATCATTTCTCCATCGGTGAATGGTTTTGCAATTTCAAGAGCCACACGAAAGCTATCACGAGTTGCAGCCTCTTGTTCAGTTTTGAGTTTTGTAAATGAAGATTGCTGCGATTTCTATCCGTGCTTCATAGCTTCGAATTTTTCTGTCCGCAAACTTCCTGTATATTTTGAGTAATTTTGAAAATGTTTTGTTTCATAATGACGTTTAATGTTATATTCTTTGAGAACGGCTATGCTTTCATTGCAAATCAAACATAGCGCCTTGTTACTGGACTCAATTACGAAATA